TCGCAAAAAACAGTATGATGCTGCATATTGGTCAGCGCGATCCACAGCCCTCATTTTTTTGGTGTAATTTACGGCTACAACTGGCTTCAACACATTAATTGCACCACCACCGCGTCTTCTTGCTGTAACGTGTTGGAGACTTGCTGCATCGCTGGTGCTCAGGAAAGTCCATGCGAGGACTAGCGTATTATTCTTCTTATAAGCTACGGTACATTTTGTTAAAAATCTAGGCTTCTTAATTTGAGGTGGCAGGTGTTTCCCGTTTGGCATTATTGTTCCTGTCAATACTTGTAAAAAATCTGCCCGTGTACAGGTGGTAGCCCTCTGTGCTTGGAACGTTGTTCAGGAGTTTCTTTATCAAAGTCAATGGGATTCTGGAACTAACTGGAAGTTCTGGTTTCTCTAAGGTTTCGGTCGTCAAACTTCCATAATATGGCAAAATCGAATATACGTATCCGGTTTCCACATCGGCCAATACGTAAATCCTTATACCCCATTTCGTTGGTTTTTTGGGGTTGTATGTGATGAATGCAATTTTGCCCTTGAATTTTACTATTGACTCATCGACACAAACATCCTCGCCAGGTATAAAATGTTCGGCAAATTTTGTGTCAATGTATCGCAGAAAGTCGTCCGCCTTCCTAATGCGGGTTTTCAGCGATGTATCGGACGGTGCATCGGTTCGTAGATGTAGCATCCAAAAAATTTGCCGGAATCTGTCTCTTTTGAATGTTTGCGAATAAAAAGGAATTTTAGTATTGCTCCTAACTGACCAATACTCCGCTATATTTGGAAGTGGCATTGTTCCCATGTTAAGAATTACGCCGATGAATGCCATGAATTCTTCACGGGTAACGTCGACCCACGAATGCCAAATTGATTTGCTAGCCAACTATTTTTCGCTGATCTTCTTTCTTGCGTAGTTGTTGGTCTCCTTTACTATCTGGTCAATCAATATGTCCGTGAAGTATAACTTGAAAAAGTCCAGTGCTTTTTTCACGTCCCGAGATATTTGTGGTCCCACTGTTCGGGGAGAAGTTTTGAATGCAAAACTAAAAGGCAAATCGGCCTTTTCCGTGACGTCCTCCCATTCTTCACTGGTATTTGAGTTTTCTGTTTCTTCAGGATCTTCTTCTTCATCGTCTTGACTCTCCTCACTTTCACTAACAATTCTTGATACATTCCGTCTCTTAGGAGGAACTATACAGTCACTGGCGTCACTTTCGGTATCTTGTAGAGAGTCATATATACACGAATTATTCACATATTCGTTATACTCTTCGACTTCCAACCCATCATCACTACTCTCATTATATTGAGAATCATTCCTAAACGGCTCCATTTTTAGGAAGGGTGATGGTCTTACAGATAACACTTTGTAAAGAATACTCTGGGTTGGCGATGTATCGCGTCCGAAGGTTTTTGAAATTCTGTCTGAATAAATTCTGAAAAAAGGTGTCGCTGTGCATGTTTTTTTTTGGCCTCTGATTGGTTACCCCGGGAAAATTAGTCAAATATACCTCTTTTGAAGAGCATGCAGGAGCCCGGGAAGTCGGCGTCATCAGGTACGAAGCGCACCGATTCCGGGAATTTGCTTCCCCCCTGATGACGTAGAGAGCCTTTATTACCATAGGATGCATTTTATGGTCTTATGCCGTTTTTGGCATTGTCTCGTCTTCCGCTGTACGGCAAGACTTCTTTGGGAAAGGTAGCGCACCGATGTCCTTTTTGGACTTCAGATAATAAACACCCGGTTACCATGGCTGAGCGGCAATGGTTTTCATGTAAAATCAAAGTCTCAAACCGTTAATATCGCCAATGAATCTACCTTGAAATCCTGACCAATTGGAATGTTTATTTCTTACTAAATTTTCAAATTAAATTTATATTTTATTATATTTTTATTT